GATCTCTTGACCTCGTGATCCACCCGCCTCAGCCTCCCAAAGTGCTGGGATTACAGGCGTGAGCCACCGCGCCCGGCCTTGAGCATGTTCTATAGTCTGAATGATCCTGAGCTGGGAACTGTTGTTTCTCATCAGCATCATCAATGGAGATGGTGGCAGTAGGTTCTCCCTCCTTTTGGCAGTTCTTAATCTTATTTTTGTGCCATGGATTCCTTTGGCAGACAGTGATATCTATGGACCATTTCTCAGAATGTTATTTTTAATTGTATAAAGTAAAACCTGTAAGTTAAGAAAGGAAACGAATTATACTGAAATACTTATCAAAATATTATGACAGTAATATATGTGCCCAATTATTAACACATCAAACTAGATCTAGGAACATGTGTAAGAGCTACCATTATCTTAAAGAAGTGATGAACGTAAGTAAAACTTTGTTTGTCTACGGCAACTCTAGTGGGTTATGAAAGTCTGTGTTTTCATAGTCCACAAAATCACAGGTACTGCTAATACCACTGTGGCTTGTTAGTTACATTACAATAGAGGAAACAGAAGAATTTCAGTTAGAGATGAGTGAAAATGAGTATCTACTTTTTACTCATTCAAGTTCAAGAACTCCCAGTACTCTCTCTGGTTAGGAGCCCCTCCCTTGGGCATACCCAGCAAGAGAAAAATTGGGGAGAGTTCTGAAAGTTTTTGCTACTTTTTCTGGGACAGATATTTGGAGATTGTAATAAAATCCAATGACAATTTTAGTCCCTGGTGAAATTATAATTTCCTTTTGTTTTATTTGGAATACAAAGAAGCAAGTTTTGCTCCTAACTTATTTGTGGAGGCCTAAATTTCACTAAAGACTTAAACAAAGGTACATCAGCCATCATGAGATACTCACTTTTTCCAGTGAAGTTGAGTCTAATACCTTTTCAGGATAAGTTCTTGCTTGCAAAGATGCTCGTAGTCTAATGGCTACATCTATTCCCATGAGGAGGAAAATTTACTACATGAGGAAGCTAGAGGATATGGGGCCCCTTTCTGGAAATTTTATTTAAGAAGCTCCAAACAGAGCCAAAGAAAGAAAAGGATCTTAGTGGATCAGAAAGGGCTTCTTAGAGGAGAGAGCAGAACCAGAGTTTAAAATAGAAAGACTCAGGTAAGAATTGGGAGGTTAGTAGGAGTACTGGGATCAGGTAGCTTTGGTCCAAGTGTAGGTATGACAGAAGATGGGCCTATATAGGTTAGAGACAGCTACAATGAACCTTCACTGATATACCAGGCTGTGGGAAATTATTGGCAGAGAGGAGTCATTGAAGTATTTTAATAGGCACGAGATAAAGAGATTTCTGATTTTGGAATATTAACAGGGCTGGAATGTATTAAATGAATTATGGTGTAGAGGAGGGGGAGAAAAATACAGTGTTCCTCTATTTATGATTGGATTATGTACTGATAAACCCAAAATATTTTTAAGTAGAAAGTGTGTTTTTGGCATATGATATTTTCAGTTTACAATGGGTTTATATGGATGTAGCCCGTGACAAATCAAGGAGCATGCTTTTGTACCATCATAAAGTTAAAAAGTTCTAAGTCAAACCATCTGAAGTCAGGGACCATCTATACAGACAATAGTTTTACCATCAGATGGAACGACTGCATAGAGAAAATTATACCTACTTTTCCTACCCTAGTATTTCCTTTAATTGCCTAACGATAAGGTTCATCTAGAGAGCTTATTAATTATGCAGAATACCAAGATTCTTTCCTGCAAATTACAACCACAGTAGGTCTGAGATTCAGAAGAAAATTAGTGATTTTTGAAACAGCTCCACATGATTTTTATCTTATACAAGTTGAAAAATTATTCATAGGAATGTTTGGCTGATCAGTTCTGACACTGCATGTGAGGGTATCAAAGCAAAAACCGATCTAGACAAAGTGCAATTATTTAAATGAAATTAATTAATTTTTCTTTGCTTTTCAACTTTTATTTTAGAATCAGGTGGTACCTGTGCAGGTTTGTTACAGAAGTATATTACGTGATACTGAGGTTTGGAGGATGATGGAACTCATCATCTTGGTCGAGAGCTAAGTACCCAGTAGGTAGTTTTTCAGCCCTTGCCCTCCTTGCCCTTGCCATCTTTTAAATGTGTCGTTTCTTTCATTCATAATATATTAAGCCAACGAACAGTTTGAATGACCATATAAGAGATAGAAGTTGGCTATGAGGGGGCATTAAGAAGCTCCAGCAGTGCTATAAAACACCACATGTAAGTCTTTATGGCAGTGCCACTGTATTTTCCAAATATTAGAAATAATAGTTATTATAATTTCATTTTTTCACAGCCCTAAGTATTTACTTAATATGCACAAAGAAGTAAATTGGCATTCTCCAAAATAATGACAGTAGAAATTATGGCAGCAAATGCAAAGACTGAAAAGTCAAGATAAACAAAAATTAAATTCACCATTGAGGCTTTAATGTGATTATATATATATTCTTATGAATACATGCATTTTAAATAGCTGTTATTTACTTTTCCTGGGCGCCACTGTTTGAGTTTTATAAGGAGGAATATAAAGATAATTTTTTTAATGTTAATATTTTATTTCTTTCAAGTTTTATTTTAGACACAGGGAATACACATGCAGGTGTGTTACAGGAGGATAATGCACCAAGGTAACAAGTATTATATCCAATAGGTAGTTTTTCAACCCATTTCCCCTCACCCAAGTAGCCCCCAGTGTCTGTCGTTGTCATCTTTCTGTCCATGTTTAGCTGTCCACTTATGTAGCCAGTGTTTAGTTCCCACATAAGTAAGACCATGCAGTATTTGGTTTTCTGTTTCCGTGTTAGTTCACTTCAGGTAACAGCTTCCAGCTGCATCCATATTGCTGCAAAAAAGATGATTTAGTTCTTTTTATGGCTGCATAGTATTTGTGGTGCATACCTATACACTGTTGGTGAGAATGTAAATTAGTCCAGCCACTGTGGAGAGCAGTTTGGAGATTTCCCAATGATAGAAATGGAATTTCCAATTGGTCAGCAGGGAAGTGGTGCTAAATGAGTCAAATCTAACTCTCAGTTTCCTTTGGTGGAAATAGCACCCTGCAGTCAGCGTTGGTAGTTGATGAGAGTCAGGGAAAACAGTAGGGCTTGTGGACGCCTCCTCTGGAGAGTGGTCTTTTCTGATAGAACACTGCAGACCAGTCCTGGACTGTCACTCATGATTAGCATCTTGTGTTGACATACACACACACACACACACACACACACACACACACACACACACACACACATACTGTATATATACTATTGAATTAATTTGGAAGAAGTAAGTTACAGGCATTTTAGCAGAGGAGTGTTATGAAATACTGATTACCATTTAGCACAAGTTGCATTAAAAATTTATCAGAAAACTTGAGTGAGGAGGTGAGGGCTTTTGGGGGTCACTGTGGGAATGATATATGAAGAGGTGTCAGCTGAAACCATGGGAGTGGATGAGGTTTTCACATTATTGGGTATGTATGGCATTAACATATCATAGGTTTTCTTTCAATACAGTGTGTGTAAAGAAGAAAGAATGGAGTTCTAAAAACTCAGAGTCTTCTTAATCCACCTTAAGAGAGGTCTATGGTGCTAAGGATCGTCAAAGGTACAACTGCTTTTCTCCTGGAAGCCCTGGCAGAGGAGAGCCTCAGTAGAGTGGTCTGGGGGAGTCAGATCCAAGATTTAAGAGTGAGTGGGAGAAAAGGTACTGGGAGTACAGGTGCAGTCTGGCTTTGAAAAACGTGAGACATGGAGGGAGGGTAGAAAAGAATCACAAGATGAAGTTACTGGGGATAGACGATATTAATATGTTTTACTTTTTCCAATTACTTTTTTAGTAATCAAAAATGAGTGAACAATCAGAGAAAAACAATTCCGTTCAAGAGGGACACACAGCTCATAATTTTCCTGAGAAGAACTGTCAAATTGGACAGAAACAACTGGTATGGCACATAGATTTTATGATTCCATGCTACTGGGGAGTGTCCCCTCAAGGATCTCTGAGGTACCCATGGACATGGGTGGGAAGGTGGGCCCAGGCAGGATGTCACAGGAGGAGCTCTGCCCGCCGGGCTGATAGAGCTTTCCCTCTGCCCCACTGCTCACTGCAGGCTGCTCTCGCCTCACCTATCTCCTCTCCACCTCCTGTGTACCCTGATTTGTAGAACCAGTGTTCTGTACAATAAAATTCTGCTTTTTGTGGAGAATATTTACAAATGTTTTTATTTAATGAACTTTGATTTTGTTCTTATTATGTCATGTTATGGTTCTAAAACTGTGTATATTAACTTAGCTAATCCTTATCACACCATACTATTGATAACTCAGTTTTACAAAGGAAGAAACTGGGGCCTGGAGACGTAGGAATTTGCTCAAGACACATCACTAGTAAGTGGCAGAGCCAAGGCTTGAGCACAGGCAGATGACCCTGTGTCTCTGTCCTTAACCTCTTGCTATGCTGCTTAGAATAGTCATCAGTGGTACTAAGTTGTATATATTTCATAACCATACCTAATGCAGAACAGTTTCATAAAGTTAAGTTTATGAAACAAACCCATATACACACACCAAGATAAAATTTAAAAGAAACATTATTATATTATTTTAGACTGACTAGACTCATTAAACTAGATACACTGCAGAAAAGCCCTTGAGATTTTGTTGTTACTAATTTGTTACACTGAAATTCCTACATTGAAAGGTTCACTTTTGTTTCCAGGTGGAATATTTCATGTATATGTCAGCTTGTATGTTTTTGTGCTTCTGAGATTATTTCCTTCTACAATCCTTCAAAAAAGCATTTTCTTCCCTCATGACATGTGCCACATGTTCAAAATAAGTTATCAGAACAATATTTGATTGAAATATTTTGTTATTTGTCTTCCAGCCCAGGCCCCATTTAATTTCTAATTGTCTCTCAGCTCAGGCCCCATCTAATTTCTAATTATAGTGGCTCACACCTGTAATCCCAGCACTCTGGGAGGCCAAAGCAGATGGTGAATCACTTGAGCCCAGGAATTCAAGGCCAGCCTGGGCAACGTGGTGAAACCCCATCTCTACTGCATATATACACAAAAATTAGCCAAACATGGTGGCGTGTGCCTGTAGTCCCAGCTACGTGGGAGGATCACTTGAGCCTGGCAGATTGAGGCTGCAGTGAGCCATGATTACACCACAGCACTCCAGCCTGGGTGACAGAGCAAGACCCTGTCTCAACAAAAGAAAAAAAAAGTCTCCAGAGAGTTTTGAAAGTGTCCCTCTTTGTCCTAGAAAGTCATCCTACCAATATTTCTCTTGTTCCAATCTGGCTTTGACTGAGAGTCGAGGCTTCAGGTGGCTGCATTCTGAATTGGAGCCCCACATGGAGGCCAGTCTAGAGCAGCTCCAGAAGAGCCTCTACTCCTTTGTCTTACCCACATCAAATGCTAATTCTGATGTGCATTCCCATCAAATTTGGAAAGATGAGTGGCATTTTGCAGTTTTAAACAGAATTCTTCTATTCCCCTTGATTGTTTTTTATGTTTTTATTTTATAAGTGTTATACTATTTCTTTATTCAGAAAGAAAGGCCCAACCTGAGAAAATTTACACCATCTTTTGAAACTTAATTAAATTGTTTATTTCTTTGTGTAAAACATATATACTTTCATGCCATTATGGTGAAAGTTACAGAAAGTTCATTTTGAGAAAATGTAAAACAGGTAAAACTATCTGTTCTTACTACTAACACATTTTATTTGTTTAATAGCAACAAATAGAGCGTCAGTTAAAATGCTTGGCATTTCAAAACCCTGGACCACAGGTAGCAGACTTTAATCCTGAAACAAGGCAGCAGAAAAAGAAAGCCCGGATGTCAAAGATGAATGAGTACTTTTCTACAACATACAAGTAAGATTCTGACTTACTATATTTGATCTGTGGGACTATGAAATGCATGAGTTCTCCTTGACAAAGCAAAGTAATTGACGTTACCCCTTTTTTTATTATTATTTAAAAATATCTCTTCTAGAGTATAATAGTACCCCTTAAGGTTAGCAACCTTAAGAAACAGAAAAAAAGGCTATAATCCCAACTTAGGAATCAATTTTTTTAAAAGGCTTCAGTAGCCCTTTAATGGAGTAATGTCTTTAGTAGGAAAGATAATTTAAAAGTAACAAAGATGTATTATTAGAAGGACAAATAATATAACCATGGGAATGGATTCAGGATATTAAATGGGCACAGGACTATCATTAAGTACAATGATCGTTCGAACATTGTAAGGACAAACTTAGCAAACTATAAAGGAAAAAAATAAACTTGACTGTATTAAAATTAATTTGCCCATTAAAACTCTGTAAAAACACTAAAAGACACATCATAAAGTAGAAGTTATTTATAATATTAAAAATCAGTATCAAAAATATATGAAGAAACTTACTAGTCAATAAGAAAAGTATAAATATACTAATAGAAAAATTAATAAAATGATAAACAGGCATTTCATAGAAGAAACAACAAATAAACATTCAGGATACTCAACCCCATCAGTACATACAGAGAAGTGCCATACTCTCCAGCAAGTCAGAGTTTAGTCTGTCGACATCAAAGTTGACGAAGTTATGGGATATGAATTGAGTGTAAAAAGGTACAACCACTATTTAAAATCAGCTTAGTGTTACCTATGTGCCTTATGACCTAACATCTTCACTCCTGAGTATACATTAATATCTTGGAAAAAGTTTAATACATGTATAGGGAGATATGCTTAAGAAGTTTCATAGCATCACTGAAATAGCAAAGAAAATAAACTGTTAATAATCCAAATGTCCATCAACAATGGAAAAGATAAATAACTCATGGTATATTTATACAGTGGAATACATATAGAAATGAAAATATTTGAACAGCTACATGTACCATCATGGAAGAATCTCAAATCATGATCAGAATAGCAAAGAAAATCACAAAAGAACAATCACCATATGTTTAGGGATACCTATATACATGTCATAGCTAAGAGCAAAACAAGGAAGTGATTTTTATAACATCAAGGTGCAGTTCCTTTTTGAGGGGAGGGTAGAGGGATGGAATAGGTGGGGAATGAAGAGGACTTCACAGCTGTAACACTCTTGTTAAGCTGGACAGTGGGCACACACACAAGTTTGCTTTATTCTTCTTTATGCATTTAGTATATACATTTTGCATGCTTTGATGTGTATAATTCAGGATTTTACAAAAAAAAAAGGGCATCAAATGGGTAGGAAACCATAAAATCTTACCAACAAGGAGAGTGTTTGAGTTAAGGCAAAGGGAGGACAGAATCAGACCTGTGCTATGCTATAGATTGGTTTCAGGACCATCTACTCCATCATTCTAATAATAGATTTAAAATATCCTCTTCTGCTTAATTTCCTGGGGGTTGCTTAGGAAGAGTTTCATTCCACAGATAAAGCACTTTAAATGTGAATCTTCATTAGAAGGCATTCTTGCTAAAGCGTGATCATCAGGCAGCAAGTACACATAATGACTAATCCTTTCCCTTCCCTGAATTATTGGCAAAGGAAAGAAGATGGAACAATACTACTTAACTGAACAGAAGGAGAGGAACTATTGTGGCTGCTTGGGGACAAAGGGTACAGAAGTATTACACATAATTTTGCCATACTAGCTTAGGACCACCAGCCTTCTGGACTTTAGTGGTAATGATGGCTGTAAGTTGTACAGAGGTATTTTTGTCTTTCTAAGGTTTTGAAGCAACTCAGTTTTGAAGGATTTATTTCAAAATGGTTTGGTTTTGAGAAGGTGGTAGGATTCTTATGAACGTCCTTTGTCCCTGGCCATGTTTTAGAGGCTGACAGAGAAAGTCTGGACTCTGGGTTCTCTTCTGGGACAGAGCATCTCACCTTCACTCACAGCTTATGATGTATGGTCCTCCATCCTTGGTCACCTCCTTTCTCCCTCTACACTGGGTAAAAAGCAGAATCAGAAAGGAACAGAAGTGGCGCTTAGAGACTGTTAGCCGAAGGTGCTTTTCTTTCTTTAAATGATTATGGTGTAGTAACTGATAGTTCTAATTTTAGGTAATGAAAATGTGGTAGTTGCATTAGGCATAGTGCTTTTCCAGGCACGGTGGCTCACACCTGTAATCCCAGGACTTTGGGAGGCCTAGGCAAGTGGATCACCTGAAGTTGGGAGTTCAAGACCAGACTGACCAACATGGAGAAATCCTGTCTCTACTAAAAATACAAAAATTAGCCGGGCATGGTGGTGCACGCCTGTAATCCCAGCTACTAGGGAGGCTGAGGCAGGAGAATCTCTTGAACCCAGGAGGCAGAGGTTGCTATGAGCCAAGATCGCACCATTGCATTCCAGCCTGGACCACACAAGCGAAGCTCTGGTTCAAAAGTTAAATAAATAAATAAATAAATAAATAAATAAAATTTGTTAGGTAAAAATCCATCAAGAATGGTAATATTTTAAAGAAAACTTTGGAGCATTTGTAGGAGGAAGCTTTAGTTAGCTGTTCCTCATAATTTTCTTAGATTGCTGCATTTCCCAGCAATGCTGGAAAAATGAAATGTTATTCTTGATGACAAACCTGGCTGCACTGAAAGTTGCTTGATCTCATATTGACAGATTTCCCATGACATCACTGCCATAGAATATTCTGGAGTGTTTCTGGTCATCTCTGGAGTTTTGGCTCAGGGTAAAATGGTCATGTATATGATATTTATTGTACACTAATTTATTCTCAATATTGAGGATGATTGCACTGTCATGTTAATGTCTTGCTTTTCCTTTGTAGAGTAATGAGGAAGTACAACAAAAGTGGCAGGCTCATCTGTAATGACGTTGACCTGTGCGATTGTCTAGAGAAAAACTGCCTGGGCTGCTTCTACCCATGCCCCAAGTGTAACTCCAACAAGTGTGGGCCTGAGTGCCGCTGCAACCGACGTTGGGTTTACGATGCCATTGTCACTGAGTCTGGAGAGGTCATCAGCTCACTGCCATTTAATGTTCCTGACTAAGTGCTCTTGCAGATGGACTGATTTGTTTCTTCTTACATGTTTAAGTCGACCTCTTTCTCTTGGGTGAATTTTAGGGCTTGGGGGAAATATTGAAAAAACATACTGAAGACTCATGTTCTGTCAAGCCCCAGAACAATGTAGAATGGGCATTAGTTCTGTAACCTTCTTACCTGTGTCAGCAATTTTCAAGTTCCTTAACTTGCAACCAAAAAATGTGACAACTGAGGGATCAGCATTTCTCATCAGCACCCTCATCTCTACTTTGCCTTCCAATTAAAACTCTTCCTCTTTCCTGATATCTGAGAAAATGTAGCTTTAAGAGTTAACTCTATAGCTGAGAGCTTTTCTTACACAGAACACAGAATCTTAAATTTATAGTATCTAGTTATCCTTAGAATCTTATGTATCACTAGTTGTAAACCACAATTGCCATTTGGATTAAAAAAAAAAAAAAAAAAAAAACCCTTGTGACTTTGCACTGCATACCCATAGCTTCATGTTTTATTTTTCATGTTTTAATATCATTAAAATGAAATTTAATGCTTGGCAGTATTTGTAATCATTAAAAATTTGTATTGTAAGATTGAGAAGTTAGGAATCTCATATCCTAAAAGCCAGGAATTATATTTTCGTTTTCAGGAACAGTATTTCAGGATTTTTTTTTCATAGAGAGGAAACTTAAATTCCACAAAAATGATTTATGTATGTTTGTTAATTGAGTATATTGATAAGCAATTGACTAGATACATGATATGGTGTTTTCAATTCTGATACGTTGTCAGAGGTATAAAAAAAGTTGAATTCAGCTTTCTTTGAAGTTATGTTTTTATAAGTCTTTTTTAACCCTAAGTCAGTGGCTCTCATTCATGAGAATTTCCTGGAGGACTTGTCAAAACATAGGTTTTTGGCCAGGCCATAGCTCACGCCTGTAATCCCAGTACTTTGGAAGGCTGAGGCGGGCAGATCATGAGGTCAGCAGTTCGAGAGCAGCCTGACCAAACTGTTGAAACCCCGTCTCTACGAAAAATGCAAAAATTAGCTGGGTGTGGTGGCGCACGCCTGTAATCCCAACTACTCAGGAGGCTGAGGCAGGAGAATCTCTTGAACTCAGGAAGCAGAGGTTGCAGTGAGCCAAGATCACACCATTGCAATCTAGCCTGAGCTGCAGAGCGAGACTCCATCTCAAAACAAAACAAAACAAAACAAAACAACACAAAACAAAACAGATTTTTGTGGCCCCACACTAAGAATCTGGACAGGGCTCAATAATCTGTTCTACATTCCCAGGTGATGTTGATGCCGCTGATGTGGGGACCACACTTGAGAACCACATCTCTAAATTATTTTAGATTCATAATATAAGGAAGTATTTAAACCTCATTGACTGTGATACTGCCACTGCACAAAGCTTGAAGTATTTAAATAAAGTAGTGTAATAAAAATTTAAAAATAAATAAGAACATTTAGTTTTAAAATAAATTTGAAATATTATAGAGGATTTTTGTTGTTATGGTTCACTTTTTTTGAGACGGAGTTTCCATCTGTCACCCAGGCTGCAGTGCAGTAGCATGGTCTTGGTTCACTGCAACCTCCACCTCCGGGGTTCAAGTGATTATCATGCCTCAGCCTCCCGAGTAGCTGGGATTACAGGATTGCGCCACCATACCTGGTTAACTTTTGTATTTTTAGTAGAGATGGAGTTTCACCATGTTGGCCAGGTTGGTCTCAAACTCCTGATCTCATGTGATCTGCCCACCTTGTCTCCCAAAGTGCTGGGAATAGAGGCATGAGCAACCGTGCCTAGCCTTATAAATAGTTTTCAGGATTTATTTTTCCTTTTTAGTTTTTAACACTTCTGCACAATCTACTTGTGCCAGGGAACATTTCTGACACTTCTGGATTTGTTGCTTGATGTATGTTTTAGGACTAAAATAACAAAAGTCTTAAAATTAATGATGTGACTATAGTACACCTGTCCAGGGAGTAAGAGCACTTAACGTTCTTCGGCATCATTCTCCATAGAATTTACTGGGTTTTCCAGTTTCCAATTACTTTTACTGACCATACATTGTGAACTAAACATTGTGTTGAGACAAAAATGAATTGCATTACCTTTGACTGTCACAGCCCAGTAAGGAAGATGTAAAATCAAATTACCCAAGTCACATCCTTTGAAATGTTCTCCAGGAATATGCAGCTTGGAAACCAGTATAAATGAGTAGGGCCTTTTTCTGTTTATACCTTGTTTTATTTTGAGAGTAATTATTATTTTGTAATTGGCAGACCAAATGAATTTATTACTTCTTTATTTTAGAATCATATAATCTTAGAGCCAAAAAGAACCTTGCAGCTCATCCGTATAGTGAATTAGTCAAGTACTAACAGAGAGGCTGCTCTGTGACATGCAGCAGGCTAGGTGCAGGGGATCAGACAGTGAACAAAATCTGCCTGGCTCCTGTCTTCATGGGGTTTGTGGACTTATAAGGCTAAGCTCTTTTTGTTTTGGTTGTTTTTTTACCTTTGCAACTGAGGAAATTTAGACCCAGTGAAATTAAATGGCTCAGGTAAGGACACACAGAAAAACTGGCAACCCTGGTGTTTTGAACACTCAGACTAGGTCAGAGTTCTTTCAAAGATGCCATATATTTCCTACATTGTACTATTAAGTGCTTTGAATATAATACATATTCCTAAGACCCGTCTCAAAGCTCAGGAATCTGAAACTGTAGGAATGAGACTTGGGATTCCATAATTTTAAACAAACATCCCCGTTAAGTCTCATGATCTGATACATCTGAGAAACACGGCTCTATATCATCAGTTGTCCAATTTTCATGCTAAAAAATAATCCTAGGCAAATTAGCATTAAAGCCCTCCTTCCCTGCTGTCTCCTCTTGTCATTCAGTCTTAAGGATTAGCTAAAGGAATCTGGTTTAAAATGATCTGGCTTAAAAAGTGTGTTGAAAAATTATGTCGGTAAAATTTCCAGGTAAGACAAAAAATAAAATAGGGTAAAAAAATCGCATAATTACTAAGCAGACACCTTAATACTGCTATTATGGAAGCCTAGTAAAGCATTTGATGAAGTATACTTTTAGAAATCAGGTTATTTCACCTTGATCTAATGCCATTTCAATGTATTTTTAAAAGTCTCTTGCAATAAATAATTATTACAAAAATCAATTTATGTGAATTGTCAGAAACATATTTTGCAAGTGTCTAATTTTTATTACAAAGTGAATAAAGCTCTTTAACTATTTGAACTAAATTCAGATTAACAAGGAATGCAGCTGTACTATCTGATTACGTTACCAAGGAAATTGTCTTGTCAGTGTGATAGGACTTTTTTCTGCTTGGCTATCTTTCAACACTGATGGCATGTCTTCATGAATATGTATAAAATGGAAGGAAACCTATTTTACAAAAGGAAATTAAACCGGTACATACTGAAAGATTTAGACAAATTATCCTGTGCACATTTATGCAAGGATTTTGGACTAGAATGTCATATCACGTCAATTTGTGTGACAACTTTGAGTGTAATTTGGAAGAGTTAAAGAATATCTGTACACTGTCTGAGATAATCCTTCTGTACTTCCCCTTCCAAATACCCCCACCCAAGACAACATCTTGGATTCATTGCAGGTACAGACATTCAGATGCTAACTCACAGAAAAATCATTTAACTTCTATTTTTATAAAAGTAAACAATGCTCTCTTGGATATTTTGTGGATGTCATAGACAATAGTTAGGCAATGAATGGTTTGGACATTTTTAAACATTTATACATGCAACTTCAGTGTTTGGCTACGCAGGGACATTTGTTTAAGTCCAGAAGGTGCCTTTTACATGGACAGCTGTACAATGCCAATTATGCCCCCTAGGGTTGTACGGCAAAGTGGCCCTGCGGAAAGGTGCCATTTGATGTCTGGATATCTTGGTTGTCCAGCATTTGCTGATATTTTCTATGTGTTAGACATTGCAGGCTTTAGATTGGTTTATATTCTTGTATAAAATACTTTAAAAAAAACTCTATGTATCCTTCTACTGTCTACTTTTTCTTTTTTCCTTCATTCTCTGTGATGTCTATAATAGCGTAAGTTAAGTTTTGAGGTTACTTAAGACAACAGTCCATCTATATGGTCTAACATACAGAGTTTCTGTGCTACTTTTTCCTTTCGGAACCTGTGTTTTAATCCTGGACTTAGAATATTCTTTTTTATATTCACAGATTCTTAAAATTCTGCTTGTTCCACAGTACTTTTCTTTACTCTGTAGAAGGGAAATGACTCTTATCATTACTATTCATGTCTAAGAAACAATGTATTATTTAAGACATATTCAATTTGGAACCTATTTCTTTTGTGTTTATAATTTGTAGTTTTAACAGGTCATTTTTTTCCCTCACTGTTGTATGGTTGTCTGTATATTCTTTTTAAGTTGGCCAAAGCTTACGTCACATACAATAAATTCAGTGAGATTAGTGACTGAGTTATTGTTTTTCCTTCAATAGTACATTCAGTAGCATAGCGTACGTAATAGATACACTACTTAGTGACCCATTATTCATTTATTCATTCATTTACCAAGCACCTCTTATATGCCAGACACTTTACTAGGTGCTAAGGATACAATGAGTAAGGGCAAAAAACCCTCAAACATGGTTTCTACTCTTACGGACTTTACAGAATAGTTGGGGAAGACAGAGAGATAGAATAATATATGACACAAACGAGTGTGAAAAGAGTAATGGGTGAGAGGAGTTATCAAGGACATCTTGACATAGTCTGGGTGGTCACAGAAGTCTTCCCTAAAGGAGTGGTCACAGTTCTGGGGGTTTGGAAAGTGAGAAAAACTTGCCAAGAAAAAGATGGGGATGGGGGTGAATGTTTTGGCAGAGTTAAGAGCAGTTGAAAGGTCTGTGGCAGGAAAGGGTAGAGCATGTTCCAGACACTAGAAGAAGCCTGGGTGGGTAAAGGGAAAGTATGAGAAGCCTCTGCAGAGCAGAGAGTGTTATATCAGGCCCATTAAGGAAGTTGAGGCCAAGCGTGGTGGCTTACAACTGTAATCCCAGCACTTTGGGAGGCCGAGGTGGGAGGATCACTTGAGCCCAGAATTTTGAGACCAGCCTGGGCAACACAGCGAGACCTGTCTCTACTAAAAATAAAACTAAAAAAAATTACTGGACGTGGTGGTGTGTGCCTGTAGTCCCGGATACTCAGGAGGCTGAGGTGGGAAGATTGTTCGAGCCCAGGAGGTCAAGGCTGCAATGAGGCATGTTTGTGCTACTGTACTCCGGCCTGGGCAAGAGTGACACCCTGTATAAAAACATTTTTTGTTGTTGTTGTTACATGTCCAAAAAACAAGAAACCACTGAAGTGCCTTAAGCCAG